TATTCATCGTGGTCTCATTATTGCTCATAGTGGCAATAATGGTTTCATTTTTACATGGTCCGGGATCAAACATAAACATACTCCAGAATATCATAGCGGCAACAACAAAACATCCCCAAATACAATTTGTGAGCGGATTCCGGCAACCAATTCCTACAGCCCGACTTCTTTGAAGTCGGGCCGTCTGTCGCTGGACTCTGTCCTCAGCGTCAGCCGGCAAGAGTGGTCCCATCACTTTCATAGGCCTAGAGAGGGTTTCCCCACTCATTTCCCAGACTGATAACCTTTTGATTTCTCTAATAGTCAAATGGACAGATTGGGATTGTTATGTAACACTATAATATTTTCAGTTCTATCATTAGCTTTTTAAAAAATTATTGAATGCCTGCTGGCTTTGTCCCTAGTACTCTGCTGTATCCTATCCAGAGGTATACCTATGAAATTTAGTAAAGTTATTAATTGTTAACGTTCTGACTTAATTATGCATTAGAAATATGTCAAACGTTTTTTACACATCACAGTTTGCTGGCAGTCTGCTTTATTCTATTAGAATGGATTCTTTTACCCATCTTACATGAACTTCTCTAATGAGGTTATAAAAGACATTAATGTTAGCTGATTTTTTGTTCGTTTTATTAAATCAGTCTTTGTTCTGTATAATTTCAAAGAACTTTATCGTTGCTTTTAACAGAGAGCATGAGTATCTATGATGATATTGATGCTGATGTGCTGCAAAATTACCAGGAATACAATCTGGCAAACATCATCTACTACTCGTTAAAGGAGTCCACCACTAGTGAGCAGAGTGCAAGAATGACAGCTATGGACAACGCCAGCAAGAACGCTTGTGAGCATATGCGCTTCTCAGAGTCTGGGGTTGAGATCAGCGTGAAGATGCTAGCATCAAACCAATGCCATTCTTTAAGTAGACCAGGATGCGAGAACACGGATCTCGTCTCTTAGGCTCTACCATTGATGCTGCACCTTTTCTTTTTTTTTGTTACATCTTTTCTTGACCCATTTCTCTTCTTGAATTGTTCTCATCTGAGAAATTAGAAATATAAGTGTTTGGTACTGTTAAGGAAGCAGATTTGTGTTTTGAGAAGACATCCTATGAATGATGTAAAAACATTCATAAAAATTTTTGAGAGCCTAGTTATTCTACCATGATACCTAAGAGTGCAGGTACCTTAAGCTGATTTCTTCCCATGTTTTTAAATGTAAGCAGCATACTACTGTGAGTTCATTAGTCATATTTTTCTAGCTTTAGGTTTTTATTGTCTATTTTTGTTTTGCTTACAGCTGAGATGATTGACAAGCTGACTTTGACTTTCAACCGTACCCGCCAAGCTGTCATCACAAAAGAGTTGATTGAAATCATCTCTGGTGCTGCCGCTCTGTAAGTAATTGTAGTCAGCTTTCAGAGAGTTTTTCACACTCTGCTAGTTTGATCTTTGGATGCTTGAAAATTTTGTTTTGTCTGTAAAAGTTAAAATAATCCATTGTATCCCTCACTATCCTTATATCCCTAACTTTTAAGTTATAAACACTTGATGAAATT